TTAAGACACCGGTTCCAGGACTCGAACCGTGGTCGACTACATGGGAGTTCAGCAACATAGCCATTATGCTAACTGTTAGTCCCTCTAAATTTTATTTTGACAAGGAGTTCCTGAATCGTCAGTGATAAAAGGTGATTTCCTTGGGAAACTCTGAAGTTGGACATACCTAAGACTGGCTTTGTGGTAGGACAAGTGTGGTCCTACAGGCCCTCCTCTTAGCTTAATGCTCTGTTGTCACCATCTTGAAATTCTTAGTAACTTTTTGTTTTGTTTTGTTTTTAAGAGAGATTTTTTTTTCTATAAGGAATGTGAGCTTGCTGAAGAGGCCGAGACAGAGACAGAAAATGAGAAATCACTCCCTTGGGGGGATGACCACACTGCAAGCCCTTCTCCTTTATTTTCCTCTCAGGGTCTTGGGCACTCATGCACACGTGCCCCGAGTGTTTTAAGTCGCCAAGTCTAGGACTCAAATCACGGTCAACTGTGTGGGAGTCCAGCCACGTAACTATTTCGCCATCTACTGGTTCCAATGCTCACAAATATTAACAGACATTTTGGTCCATTGATAAAAGGACCAAAATCCTACATCCTGTCCCTGACATATTATCATTGTGATGGGTGAGTCATGCTTATAAACATGAATAGACCATTTTGGCCTGTTGATAACAGGGCTCTTCCTACATCCTGTTTCTGACATAGTATCTTTGTGACAATATGAATCCTTTTTCTTTTCTTTTTTTTTTTTTTTTTGAGAGATTTTTGTTGTAGGGGCGTGCACTTGCTAGAAAGACAAAGAGATAGAAAGCGAGAAATCACCCTCCAAGGGGTTGACCATGCTACAATCCCTTCTCCTTATCTCCTCTTGGGATCTTAAGCACGCATGCCCACATACCCAGTGTGAGTTTTAAGCTGCCAGGTCTGGGACTTGAACCCTGGTTGATGCCTGTGGGAGTCCAGCAACATAACCATTATACCATCTGGTGGTTCCAAGCCTCCTTTATCTCTACATTCTTTTGTTAATCCCTTCCTGAAATACAGACCTTCCTTTCCAATCTACAACCTAAAAATTGTAGAACCCACCTATAACCTACAAGCCCCCACTTTTGGGCCAGACCAATGTCTTTTTTTTTTTTTGGAGAGGTTTTCGCTATAAGGTGCGTGTGCTTGCCAGAAAGACAGAGAGAGACAGAGAGATAGAAAGCGAGAAATCACCCCCCAGGGGGGATGGCCACGCCGCAATCCCTTCTCCTCCATTCTCCTCTTGGGATCTTGGGCATGCACGCACATGTGCCCGGCGTGAGTTTAAGCCGCCGGGTCTGGGACGCGAAGCGCAGTCAACTACGTGGGAGTCCAGCGACACAGCCATTACGCTAACTGCTGGTCCCCAGACCAATGTCTTTAAAAAACTAACTCTAATCGTCTCACTTCGATAAATGGCATCACCATGTGCCATCCAATTCCCCAAACCCAAAGCCTAGAAATTAGCCTTGACGCTTCACTTCTTCTCACCCCTACCCCATCCCAAGCAATCTCTAAATCTTATCAATTTCATTTCCATTACTTCCTGAATCTGTCCCTTCCATGGCTACTACTGTGGTTTAGACTATCATGAAAGCTTCCGATGCAGCCTCTCAGCCTTCACCTGAGAACTCTCCAATTCATTTACCACAGGACAGTTAGAGCTAGTTATTTTTCTAAAACTCTTTTTATGTATGTCCTGTCCATGCTGAAAACCCATCAGTGAATCTGCCCAAAGGCCTCCACCAAAGCCTTAACTGTTTAATATTTACGTGACATGGGCCATCGGGCTCTACGTTACCAAGTGGCCCACAGATCAAAGCCAGCACACTGCCTTTTTTTTGCTGCTGTTGTTGTTCAGCTTTCTACTCAAGGATCTTTTTTTTAAGAGAGAGTTTTGCTATAGGGCACATGTGCTCACAAGAGAGACAGAGGGAGACAGAGCGACACAAAAGTGCGACATTAACCCCCAGGAGGATGGCCATGCCACAATCCCTTCTCCTCTATTCTTCTTTTGGGATTTTGGTATGCACGCATGCCTGCCCAGCATGAGTTTAAGTTGCTGGGTCCAGGACTCAAACTTTGGTCAATTACGTAGGAGTCCCGTGGTGTAACCATTATGCCATCCGCTGGTTCTGGTTTTTACATTTCTTTTTAAACTTCAGACTGTTGAGACCAGCAGTTAACATAATAGCTATGTTGCTGGACTCCCATGTAGTCGACTGTGGTTCGCGTCCCGGACCCGGTGGCTTAAAACTCACGCCGGGCACGTGTGCATGTGTGCCCAAGATTCCGAGAGGAGAATGGAGGAGAAGGGATTGTGGCATGGCCATCCCCCCTGAGGGGTGATTTCTTGCTTTCTGTCTCTCTGTCTGGTGAGCGCACGCATCCTATAGCTAAAATCTCTCTTTAAAAAAAAAATAATAAAAAGAAAGAAAATAGAAAATAGACTTCAGACTATTGTCAGTTTAATTATCTGCTAGATCATCAGATGGAAGCATGTGGTAAGTGAATGAAAACATGGTTCATAAACTTGAGAGGCAAGTATATTTAGCTTTAGACATTTACCAGATTGGATAATTTTTTTTTAACATTTAAAATAAAACTTTTCGTTATGAAAAACAAAGCAATATATTTTAAAACTGATTTCCAGAGCAATAAACATCAATGTGCAACCACTTTTTTTTTTTTTGTAGAGATTTTCACTGTAGGGTGCGTGCGCTTGCCAGACAGACAGAGAGAGACATAGAGACAGAAAGCAAAAATCACCCCCCGGGGGGATGGTCACGCCACAATCCCCTCTCCTCCATTCTCCTCTCGGGATCTTGGGCACGCACGCACACGCGCCCCGGCATGAGTTTTAAGCCACCAGGTCCGGGACACGAACCACGGTCGACTATGTGGGAGTCCAGCGACATAGCCATTACGCTAACTGCTGGTTCCCCAAATTATTCTTTTTTGAGTTTTTTTTTTGCTATAAGGTGCATGCACTCAACACAGACAGAGAGAGACGGAGAGACAGAAAGCGAGAAATCACCCCCCAGGGGGGATGGCCACACCGCAATCCCTTCTCTTCCATTCTCCTCTCAGGATTTTGGGCACGCACACACACGCACCCGGCGTGAGTTTAAGTCACTGGGTCTAGGACTCGAACCGCGGTAGGCTACATGGGAGTTCAGCAATATAACCATTATGCTAACTGCTGGTCCTGAGACAGGTCATTCTTTGATCTGTACATTTTGACTAGTTTTAGCCTCTGAAGATCTTTCTCTTGAATCTGCTTCACCAATTTTGCTTTATCTTCATCTAATGATTGTTTAGGATAACTCTCTTTCAAAAAATTATTTTGGAGAGCATCTGTATCAAGTGATTTTGATTCAACATGCACTGATATTCTTGAAGGCATTTTTCAAATGTGCATTTTCTTCAAATTCACTGTCATGTTTAAAACTTTCTTGAAATGCCAAACAATTTTCTTCCGTTGAAGATGCTGATTTTTCTGAAAAAGTCTGACCACTTTCTTCATTCTCTACTTTATGACGCTTTACCACGCTGTAGTGGGAATGAAATGAAGACCTTGTTTTCTTCATTTTTTCCTCTTAGTGTGCCACTCATAGGCTCCCTCTGTCATGCCTAAAGGGTGCAGAAGGTGCGCGCAGCTGCAGCTGTAAACCAACCCTGCCCCAGGAGCGGGACGGTTTTTACATTTTAAAATAACAAATAAATGCAAAAGATTAATAATATTTCATCACAGTGGAAACTACATGAAAATCAAACTTCCGTGGCTAAAGTAACACATATTGTCTATGCCTGCTTTTGAGCTAAAAATTAAGAAGCTTTGATCAAGCTAAGGTGACCTGCAAAAACCTAAAATACTTAAAATCTGGTCCTTTATAGGAAAAGCTTGCCAACCCCTGCTTTGCAGTCATCTTTCCTCACTCTCGCCTGAAGCCATCCGGAGCTAATCGGGAGTCCCTGACAGACCACTCTTTCTCTGTGACCTGATCCCGTCACACCATGGCCAGCTCCCACAGAACGAGCTCCATCTTAAGCTTAATAAAGGTCCTAATAAACAGACCTTCTGTCCTTTTATCAATACTTACCTGATACAAGCCGTCCACTGAATCCTCAGCACCCAGCACAATCTCAGACCTCATGCAGCGCAAAATAAGTGCCAGTTTATTGAATAAGCTGCATCTTACAGAGATGAACAAAACTGGATTCCAGTTTTCAGAGAGCTTACGAAGTGAAGCTGGGCATGTAAATAAAAAATTAAGGTACAAGGAAGAAATTTTAAAAAGCACTAAAAGCAGCAAAGACTCTGCAGCAGAACCAAAGACAGAGAATTCCACTTGGGGGAAAGGTACCCCTTCTTTGATCCTTTCTGATGTGAATACGAATCCCCTCTTCCCCCAAGAAGAAATTCTTACTGAGCTTATTTGTCGGCCTAGAGTGTCCTCATCTATAAAATAAGGCCAAACAATCCCGACTTTACTGTATTAAATTGAATATATTATTGAAACACAGCATCGAAAGCACGCTCAATGCATGCTTCAGTACGAAGTGCTCAGCAAACAGCAGTTCTCCGGGATCTTCTAAAACGCTCGGTTTGATGTTAACGGGGTCCGTATCCAAGGGGTCTGGTGTGCATTGCCAAGCTCCTGGCATCCAACGCCTCCCTTCAGTGACAGCAGCGACCTACCAGCACTCCCTTCGTCGCAGGAGAGTTCTGGGCTGGTGGGGACCCGGGGTTGGAACTCCGGAGAAACGGCCCAGAGCCGAGCTGGAGAACCCTCGCCCTCCAGGCGGAAGAACTACAATTCCCGTCGAGCTACCGAGTTTAGGGACGCTCTACATTTACCAAGCCCAGCCTGTTCCGCGCAGGCTTGAGTGGCTCCGCCCCACGGGGCACCAGTCTTTGTCCCTGTAGTCTCGAGCGTGAACACGCGCCGCCGCCGGAAGACTCCGTGTGACGTCACGAGGCCCTACGTGTTGTGCGGAGTGCGCGAGTTGGCGGACGGTCCCTGGGCGGGTTTTCTAGGCCCCGGGACCACGGAAGACGCTTCCGAGGGCGGCCGCGATGCCTCGCCCGCGGCGGGTCAGTCAGCTCCTGGATCTGTGAGTCCACCCCGTCCCGCCTCCATCCCACCCGGGCTCTCCCTTCTCGCCCCTGGCCCACCTCCCGACCCCCGGAGAGGCCCGGGCTCCCGATGTGTCGTCGTCCGCCGAGGCCGGTTGTGTGAAGAGGCTGCTGGGCGGGCGCGGCCCTCCGTGCGGGGTCGGGGCGCTCCTCGGGTCCCCGTTTCGCTGTCAGCCTTGACAGCTCAGTTGCTCGCCAG